TCTTTCTTTTTTTCTAATCACTATATTTTTAATCTCATATAATTTCTTTGATGATCATTTGAATGTTCTGGCTGGATGCAGACCTGTTCTCTCATCCCCAGTTGGCCAGCCATGGAATAAGGAGATTTGACCCAGTAAGCTTCAGACCCTTCATGTTAAAACTAACCTTATCATTTGACAGACATTTATTGAGTGACCGTTACCTGTCAGCACTATTCCAGGTGCTGAGGAAAGAGCGGTGAATGAAGGAGACAAAAGCACAGCCCTCCTGATGTTTGCTTTCTAGTGAGGAGAGAGACACAGCAAATAAAAAATACTAACATTTCAGATGATGGTAAGCTCTACGGAGAAAATGAAAGACGGTCAGGGGAATAAGGAACGTAGCTGTGTGTGCGCATTAGGTGTGGGGTAGTCAGGGAAGGCACCTTGGATAAGGTAACATTGGGCAGAGACTGGAAGGAAGTCAAAGGGCAAACCGTGTGGAGATCTGGGAAAAGAACTTTCTAGGCAGAGGGGACCACAAATGCAAAGGCCCAGATAAAGAAGCAAATTTTTTCTGATGAACAACGATGGGGCAGGACGAGTAGAGAAAGTGATAGGAGATGAGGTCAGATTGACAATGGGGCCAGATCGCACCGGGCCTTGCAAGGCGCTAGAAGGACTTTGGCTTTTACTCTGAGCGTATTGGGAGCCGTTGGCAAGTTTTGAGCAGAGGAGTCACTTTCCGGCTGTTGTGAAGGGGATGCAATATAGAGCAAAAACCTGGGAACAGGGAGGAGGAATGGTGGGGGCCACTGATGGTTATTTAGTAGCCACTTGTCACTTCTTACTTGAGTAATAGAACCCTGATTTTTTGGTGGCAGCAGTGTGCCCAGCTGAAATCCTTATTTCTTAGCCCTGCCTCACAACTTGACACAGTCCCGTGACTGCGTTCTGGCCAAGAAACTGTAAGTAGCATTTTTGGAACTCTGTTTACAAAGAGCCTGCTCCACTGAGTGGGAGTCTCTCTTCCTCTTTTGCTTCCTCCTCTCGACAGCCTGGAACGTAATGGCTGGAGCCCTAGTGGCCATCTTGGTCATGAGGTTACCTTTAAAGTGAAGCCTCAGGCTGGGGATCGTAGAACAGAAACCTCCTACAGGTCCCTGAAGAGAGCGTAGAGATGCCTCACCAACTCTGCACTGCCTATGTTTGGACTTGTTTTCCGTGAGAGAGAAATACACTTCTATTTTGTTTAAGCTCTTGTTATTTGGGGTTTTTCAGTTATACACAGCTAAACCTAAACATAACTGACATAGGAGGCCATTGTATTAATTCAGGTGAGAGAAGATGGCGGCGTGCACCTGAGTCGTGGCAAAGGAAGTCAGATTCTGGATATTTTTTTTGAAGGTGTATAGGATTTGCAGATGGTTTAGATACAGGAGTGAGGGAAGGAGAAAAACTAAGGGAGGTTTCTGGGTTTTGAGTCACTTGATAGTGCTATTATTTACAGAGATGCAGAAGACTAGGGAGAGAGCACGCTCACGTGTGGCGTTGGGGTTGGGTGGGATCAAGAGGCTAGGGCGGTGGCAGGTCGGCCTTGCAGGGAGGGACGAATGAAACAGGAGGGAAGGCAGAGAGCATGGGGCACAGATTGGTGGGGAAATGAGGGAGCTTTTCTTCCGCTGCTCCTATTGTGCGGATCAAGCATGAGGCCAGGTCACCAGCAGAGACTGCAAGGGTGACAGCAGAGGGTGGGGATGGGAGACGAAGAAAGAGAGAAGTGTGAAACGGACTAGAGAGTGGGATTGCCGGGCAGCAACAAGAGAGCATCCGTTGGAAATCTGTGCTATTTTAAAGCGAAGCAGTGAGCAATGCTGTGTGTCCTTCTGCAATCCAGTCCAGTGGCACTGTTGGGTTTAACTGGGTTTTGCCAGGCAAGTCCTGTACCATATAAAACGAAACGAATGAGGGATGAAAGTGTGTCTGCAAGACAGGAATCAGAATAGATCAGGAATCCAAACTGGATAAAGAAGGAAGTAAACATATGCGATGCGTGATGGATTAAGAAGTTGAGGGTTCTTGAAAAGACTGAAAAATTGCTGGAGTGTGGGCACTCGAGAAGCTAAGCGGAAGGATAGGAGGCAACGATGGTTGGAGGGTGGGATTGTTGAAAATGAGAGGCTCAGGTGAGAGAGATGAAGAGTCACCACAGAGAAAGGGAGGAAGAAGCCCAAAATATTGGATGGAGGTCAGAGTGTATAAAGTATGATATACTTTATACTTAAATAAAGTATATTAAATTACAAGACTAATAAAAAACTTGTTCACAAATTCCTATCATCAGTAGATTTATTAACTGGTTTGAATAAACACACCATCCATCAGTATAAGTACTTTAAATTAAAAAGTTTTTTTTTGATGGGACGTTTACAGGACTTCAGAGAGTAAAGTTGTACCCAAACATCTAAGTTTTGCTGGGTGAAAACACAAAGCATGTTTTTTAAATGTGAAACTTCTTTGTATCTTGATATTTTTTATTTTCCTTCTGTGAGTTTCTTTAGGCGGCTTGTCCACTAATGCAATCTTTTAAAAATTGACCTGTTTTTCCCCTCTGCAATTTTTCATGTCAAAGCTTGTTTCTTCTAAGCTGGACCTTGCACTCTTGTACTTTCCCCATAACTTTTTCACTATTTTTTAACTCATTCCCATATTTACTTATTTTTTCACGTTTATTTTCTCTCTTCCTGCTCTATCTCTCTGTTATAACCTCACTCTTGCTCAGATGCCTTTCCTTAGGAGAAAGAACTGGGAGATGCCTTCCGTGAGAGAAGTCTCTAGATCCTGGGCAGGCCTTGTGAGCCTTGGACATTATTTTACATCTAATGAAAAACATTCAGATTACGGGGCCAAGCCTCCCGTACAGGTCCAATTTCTCAAAGGTGGTCTCGGAATCATTATGGAAATCGCTTTGCTCCTCCCATCTCCTAGTCCCTCTTCATTAACTCAAAAATTATTACTTGGGAGCCTATTCTGGGCTACTCAGTGTGCTGATTAAAGTAATTCACATTAACTGGCAGTGACTGATGGACTAAATTCTCTCAGGAGCATTCACATTCCTAAAATGTGCCTATTAATCCAACAAATTTCGGATTCATGCAATAAATGTGAAACAAACCGTTAACACTCTATTTAGGATTTTCTGTGACAGAACAAAGGGGCTTCCCTTCTCTTGGGGCCCCAAAGCAGCCTTCCTCTCCCTGAGAAAGTAGGTTAGGGTAACATAAAATCAGGAAGTAGAATTTGTGTGCACGCACATGTGAGTGTGTGTCTTAATGTGTGACCCCACCCATCTCGTCTATAACTCTCTCCAGCCTATGATCTATGTGTCTTCTTCACTGGTTTCAAATCAGAAGCCAGAGATATTCATGTATGGCTTTTAGCTAAACCATATTATTCTTAAATTGTAAGCTCTTAATCTCAGGATCCTATTTCCTAGGTTTCCATAAAAAATTCTTCAGACACCCAACTTGATGAAGGTTTTCGGGAACACAGTCACAGAAACATAGCGTCCCTGGCTCCTGATTCTTTCTTTAATCCTGTTGTCAGTTACTGGAATGCACAGAGTGAGCAGGGAGCCAGAGATGAGCGGCACCAGAAATTGAGGTTTCCGTTTCTCAAGGTGGCCTGGGCTAAGAACAAGTTATAGCTCATCCTCCAGTCACCCTGCAAATTACGAGGAAAAGGGCCCCGGCTGTGTGATCATATTGTGCAGTGGTTTGTATAGTGGGCTTGAGGGATTAACAGTTTTGAGTGCGGTTCCCAACCAGACTCCTAGTAGCTCCGTGACCCCGGGCAAGTCGCTTAAGCCTCAGGGGCACAGCTTCTATACAGAGCACTACATTATTCTTAGTGAGAGCGTGGCTGATGAGAGCAGCCCTTTCGCGCATCACCCATCCCGTCGGCGGATCTGTCTGATGCAGCCCTTCCAGGAGGTTCTCTTTCAGGTCCAGAAGTTTCCCTCGGATGCAAGGGAGGCAGAGATGAAATGGGTCTGTAAGGGCTCTCTCCTCTTCATTTCTGCTAGCGGAATGACCTCCTTGAGCCCGCCCTGGACCTCCCCCACCCCCTGCCTCTCCGGTCGCTAGTGGGTGAGTAGCTGGAGGGCGAGGGTGAGCAAGAAGAAAGCATCCTCTTCTCTTTCTCGTCCAGGGAGACGGGGCAAGGAGCAATTTCCTGATAATTGACACCACTTGCTCTTTTACCATCTCAGCAAAGCCTTGACCCTATATCCATGCACCTTTCATCGGCCTTTTGTAAGCAGCTCGGGAGACAGGAGAATCAAGTTTCTGGAATGAAAAAAATATAGCAAAAGAAGTCGTGCTTCTTCCTGCTGGTGGCTGTTGACGAGAGGGAAGCCAGCGGGGCCCCCAAGAGGTCGCTGGTGGCGCAGGAACGGAGGCCAGATTGTAGGGAACGGGGGAAGAAGGAAAACACCCAGAAACTTTCTTCCTCGTTGCGAATGCTCGCCGCCCCCCTCTCCCCGCACCCGCCTCCCCGGGCAGAGCGGTAACGTGACACCGAGAGCAGCCCGGAGACCCGCGGGGAGAGGGAGGGAGAGCGGAGAGAGCGCTGCGGAGCGCCGGCGGGGAGAGGCGAGGAGGAGGAGGAAAGCCCCTGTCCAGGAGGTGGAGCGAGGGGCTGGTGTCCGCCTCCCGTTCCTCCCTGCCGTCTTTCCGAGGAGCCTGAACCGGGACACAACACGCCGAGCCCGACAGACACAAAGCCGGGGGTCCACGCTGGCGCTGGAGGCGAGCCCCGGGGGCCGCGAGCGAGCCCGGGGCGCGGCGGGGCGCGGGGC